CTTCAATTTTTTATATACCTATCCATGTTTGATAAATCTGTTTTTTTTGAAAATATACTACTATGTGAGCCCTACAAGATGAACGGTTCAGATTACTATAACATACCCACGATGAGACCCATAATTGATGGTGGTAAAAAACCCAAGTTTTCCACCTAAGGTGGATGGAATTTACACTCAATCAGTACTAAGGGACCCAACAAAAGGGGAAGGCAAATTGCTTTTCCCCTCTCCCCTGACAGCCCCCCTCCCACCTTTTTGCCAAAATGTCCGAAATACCCCCAATTCCCACCCTTTTAACTAAATTCTATTTTTATTTAATTCTTTTATCTTATTTATTCAATTATTTATTTATCTCTTTTTCATTATATCTTTTTTCTCTTTTATTTATTTTATATTTTTTATATTTTTTTCTCTTTAATATTGTTTATTTTACTAAATTCCTTTTTTATTTAATTTCTTAATTCTGTTATCTTATTTATTTAATAGAATTTAATTAAAAGAGTGGAGGTTGGAGGTATTTCGGACATTTTGGCAAAAAGGTAGAAGGGGGGCCTGACAGGGGAGGGGGGAAAGGGAAGAGAAGTCAAGTTGAACAAAAACTTCTGCAAAGACATAATTTTTTAAGACCCCTCATCAAACTCACCTAGTTTCCACCATTTTTTATAACCGGATGTATGGACCAGTTTGCGCGCATTTCAACTAATTTCGGAGTCCTAAAGTTAACGATCAGACAGATTCTTAGTGGCCCATGGTAGCCTTTCGTGGGATTCGAACATGCGACCTTATCGAGGACAAAGACTTTTAATGGATAATCAACACTATAGTCATGAGTCATGACTGTTGAATTAAAGCAGGAAAATCTCACACATCTTGCTGAACAAGAAAACATCACCACACAGGGAATTCACATGGAATTCTAGCAGCAGTCGCCACATTTGACCATCTACAAATTCTTAGCATATTTATGCCTAGAATACTTACTTGAGCAGCAGGATTCGAACGAGTCGATCACATCGATATATAGTCACGATTAGAGTATTTTTCCACCTGAAAATGTCTAACTCCCAAAACCAAAAACCAGCTCCTCATGTTGCTCTCCTTCCCAGCTCCGGCATGGGTCATCTAACACCTTTCCTCCGGTTCGCTGTTTCGCTAGCCCAACACGGTGTCCAGATTACCCTCATCACTACTCACCCAACTATCTCGCTAGCCGAGTCACAAACTCTCTCTCACTTCTTCTCCACTTTCCCTCACATCACTCCAAAGCAACTCAATCTCCTCCCATTGAACAATGCTACTCGTGACAATTCAGAAGATCCTTTCTACGTCAAATACGAAGCCATTCGCCTATCATCCCATCTTCTGAAACCGCTTCTCTCCTCGTTATCGCCGCCTCTCTCTGCTCTTGTCACAGACATGAGCTTGGCCTCCACAGTCATCCCAGTCACCCAATCTCTTAACCTTCCCAACTACATTTTGTTCACTTCATCAGCTCAAATGTTGACACTTTTTGTGTCATTCCACGCCACAGTTGGCTCACAAGCTCCAAACAATTCTGACAAAACAGAGGACTACTTTCAAACTGGTCTGCAATCGATACCGAAATCAAGGATTCCCCCACCACTACTCTCAGACACGCCTAACCTCTTGCGAACCCAGATCATAGAGAATGGGAAGAAGATGATACAATCAGATGGAATCCTGGTAAACACATTTCAGACCATTGAGCAGGATTCCTTGGGAGCACTCAATGATGGGAAAGTAGTAAACGGGCTACCAAGGGTGACTGCAATTGGCCCATTTCCTCCATTGGGTATTGAAAGGACCCAATCAGTACCATGGCTTGATGATCAACCAGATGGGTCAGTTTTGTACGTGAGTTTTGGGAGCAGAACTGCCATGTCAAGGGAGCAGATTAGAGAATTGGGTGATGGGTTGGAGAGGAGTGGATGTAGGTTTTTGTGGGTGGTGAAGGAAAAGAAAGTGGACAGAGAAGATGGAGGGGAACTGGGTGAAGTTCTGGGAGATGGGTTTATGGAGAGGGTGAAGGAAAGAGGATTGGTGGTGAAGAATTGGGTGAATCAAGAGGAGGTAATGAGTCACAAAGCAGTTGGTGGGTTCTTGAGTCATTGCGGGTGGAACTCAGTGAGCGAGGCGATGTGGAACGGGGTGCCTATACTGGCTTGGCCACAACATGGGGATCAGAAGATGAATGCTTTTGTGGTGGAGAGGATTGGGATGGGGTTGTGGGCGGAGGCGTGGGGGTGGGGAGGAGGAGAGGTGGTGGTTAAGGGAGAGGAAATTGCGGAGAAAGTTAGGGACATAATGGGGAATGAATTGGTGAAAGCTAAAGCAAAGTGTGTTGGAGAAGAGGCTAGGAGAGCAGTGGGAGATGGTGGGGGATCCAAGAAGGGGTTCATGGAAGTTATAGAGATTTGGAAGAAGTCATTTTAGTCACTTGAGCAATATGCTCGTTCCGTTATCACGTCTCATTTGGTTATTTGTCGCTAAAGTCATGTTTGCAACATGAGCAAGGGGTAGCAACTCTTCGGTTTCCATCGCTTTTATTTGTACTTTTTTCTGTCCGTCTTTAGACGAAATGAACGAAGAAGTAAAACAAGACTCGAAAAATAACGAGATTAGGCGAACTTCTTTTGCTTATTGTTTGTTAACTGGTCTTCTTTTCGAATTTTCCTGTCGAAATTTTACAGTTGATCAATTGCAATCATTGATAAGGAGAGGAAATATTGGAAAAACATCTCAGAAATGGAAGTAAAACGTTTTCCAAGGAGGAGCACCTCTAAATTATACTACAGCATAAGATACCTTTGTGGTCTGAAACCATATTTTGCCAAGACATCCTATGAAACTAACGCGATTCCACCAGTGTAACAACTAATGGATTAAAGCCCGGCCAGTGACGACCTTTCAGCCCAACAGGGTTACGCCCGATTGCTTGGTTCAAACCCAAATGTTCGGCCCGCCACATTCATAATCCATCTGCTTAAATTCACATGAGTTGATATTATCGCACATGATACACCAAGAAAACTAATAGAAACAGGTAATGCTGCTGATGCAGATGGGTATACAACCCAGCCAATGCTTAAAGTTGTTTTTGTTGGAACAGCGAAAAGGAACATTTTATCGATCTTTGAACCATATAGATACATAGACTAAAAGGAACAATGATGAAAAGGCATCACAACCAAGGACAAACATCCCAACTAGGTTGGCACGACTCACGAGAGTCTTGGACGATCACGTGCCATCCCAAACCCAAAGAAGGGAGGGTTGGCGAGGAGCCAACACAAACAAGCACAAAAGAAGAAGAGATATATAATAGCAATGAAACACAATCCTCCAACAAAGTGGAGTAAGATCCCAGGCTAATCCCATAGAACAGAACAATCCCCCAAAACAGCCTCCCATATGAACTTCTTTATTGATAACAAAATCCCTGAGAATCACCAACCCATTTTGTGCCAAAATTCAGCAATCCAAACAAGCAACAGCAAAACCAGATATAGCAGCCAACCATCAACTTGAGACCGAAACAACAACAGCAACCAGCAGCTTCAGCATACAGAATTAGCATCCAAGCAGACACCAAAGCAGCAGAAGTAGCATAATTTTGGGAACAGAAGCAGCACCAAACACTTGAGAGTAGAAGAAGCGCCAAAATGACAGCAGAAGCAGCAGTTACAACGGTTGCAGAATTCCACAGTAACAAGTGATCGCTCCATCAGCAACACCATTCTGCGAACAAGAAACCACAGTTCCTCATTTTTTGAACAGGTGCTCAAGTTGTTAGGAAAAGGCAATGGGAACGGCTGATTAAGAGCGAGCCCCTTCGCTTAATGCTTGTGATTGTAATCAATTAGTTCAATGATGATAAAGCTTGACAGAATGGGCCCAGCAAGGTTCCATGGTGTAGTGGTTTAGCACTCTGGACTTTGAATCCAGTCACCTGGGTTCGAATCCCGGTGGGACCTTCTATCGCTTCACATTTTTGGTTTATGTATTAATGGTTCCAAAAAAATTTGGTTTGTTTCTATCTTCTAGCTGCATTTTTATCCCTTTCGTAACTGTCCAACTTGTTTTCAAGCTCCATGACGAAAAAGACTTGGCTGAACCGAATTCTTGTTTATATGTATAGATTTTTCGTATGCGGTTGAGCTGCATTCTTTTATATAATGTTAGTTGCTGAATCAAAGATGGTGGTCTATGCATTTCCAAGCGCGACGTAAAGAGATCTACTAAATTTCATTGCACAGTGCCAAAACTTTTCTTTAGAACTTAGAAGGACCAATGATCCTTGGATATTTTCTAGGGGAAGGCACAGTGAATCACAGGATCAGTGATAGAAGCAAGATGTAAATATGATAATTGCAATCATGGACATTGAGTGGAAATATTGGACAGAAAACACACACCATAATTATACAGAATAACAACTAGGGGTGAGCACTGGGCATCGTGTCCTGTCATAATTCTGTCAACTCTAACCCGACTTTTTTAGCTTTTCGTGTTATCGTGTCATGTCATATCCGTATTCCGTGTCAAAAATAGCCGACCCTAACCCGCTAACTTCGTGTCCGCCTCATTAACAACCATCTGGTCTGAAACCATATTTTGCAAGACATCCTATGATTGTGGTGACGACCTTTCAGCCCAATGGTTTCTGGCCCAACAAGCTAATCCCTAAAGCTCAGTTCAAGCCCGTTATGTTCAGCCCAGTAGCCCACCACACTCATAAATTCATAATCTATCGGCTTAAATTAACATTAGTTGACATCGCTGCACGAGAAAATTTTCAGTACTATTATTTGTCTCGGTGGGACTTACACAGACATGGGTCCCACCTCACGAGAGAGGGCATTACAAATAACCGCCGTATCCGAACATGTTCCAAGAGCAAGCGGCCATTTGCTTAAGATTGTAGTAATTGTAATCAATTAGTTTAATGATAAAGGTTGACAGGTTAGGCCCAGCAAGGTTCCATGGTGTAGTGGTTTAGCACTCTGGACTTTGAATCTAGTGACCTGGATTCGAATCCCGATGGGACCTTCCTTCTATCACTTCCCTTTTTTTTTTGGGTTTATGTGTTATATTGATGATTCCAAAAATTTGGTTTGTTTCTATATATTCTAACTGCATGTTTATCATCCCTTGTAACCATGCAGCCATCCCATTCTTAGACAGGCTGTTGATGACTGGATCAGATAATGATAAATGCAAACCGATTTGGAGGGGCTGTGATCAAGTTGTGGAAGAGATAGTGACCGGGCAATCAGGGGTCATGTAAAAATTCTAGTATGACATTCGACGCGATCCGATAAAAGAGAGAGAGAGGGGTTCAACGTGATTGTTTCGCTAGTCAATTGGAGACTTTTCACACTAATTCCGTAAAGAGAAAAACTTTATTACGGCTATTTCTGTGAATAGTGTTTACGGAGGTGCATCGCGGCCGTCTGTTTTGGCTTTAGACGGTCCGGATTTAAATTAAAATTCGGACCGTCCAAAGCTGAAACGTCATTAAAATCCGGACCTTTCAATGCCGAAACAGATGGCTGAGATCGTTCAGCTCCGCAAATAGCTTATTCACGGAAGACGGCTCCTCCGTTAATAAGCCAATTTCTTCCGTAAAGGTGGTTTCTAAATTAGTTGGTCCATTTCTATGACGTTGTGGATGGAGGAGGGGGCCATCAAATTATAATTTGGAAGGTAGATAAATGGGCTCATCAACAAGTGGACTGGCAATAAATTTTGTGCGCAGGACACGAACTTGTCCCGGAGTGATATTCATTGTATTTGACTCTCAGTGACCGACTTGAGAAATATTTTTATGACAGTTGGCGTCCAGTGACGGAACCAAGATTTCTTCAACGCGGGGGCCGAACTATGAACAATAACTTTTGAAATTTTAAGGTTCGGAAATCTAATAGTTTATTGGCTTGGGTTTTGAGGAGATTTTTTGGCTAATGAGTAGAGAGAGATAAAAAGAGAAATGAGAGAAATAATTGAAGGGAAAACTGATTGGAGACTGTGCATAGAGAGAGAGGTTGGATTTTAGGACCCAAAACAAACATAGTCTAAAGCATTTAAATGTTTAATAACACCCAATACAAAAAACAATATATAGTGACTCTTAACAAACAAAAAACAACTAATCTTAATATTTTAAAAACAAGTGGAGTAGAGTGCAGGTGGTGCATCTCTTATACTCCCATGCAAATAGGAATGGTGCGATTTCTGAAAGCACTCATCCCCCTCTCCAAAATTTCGATGATAAAGTAGATTAGATTTAAAGAATAACAAGAACTTTTAAAATAAAAAAAAATTACAAAAAATACCCAAAACTACACGGGGGCCACGGCCCCCATAAGCCCTCACATAGTTCTGTCTCTAGTTGGCGGCTACCGTGGTGGCACTATGGTCATTGGAGGCGGGTGAGGATCGGATCAGATCGGATTCGGAATTTACTCGTTTGTCCTTACTAGCTCCACAAATTGTAAAAGAAATACACATTTCATTATTTTCAAGACTGGGTGCGAATAGAATATCTCTTATTGTTCTTCAATCAACTTTTCACATACATTTTATTCAACGCGTTCGGCGGAACTAGGAATGTAATCTGCCCTTGACTAAAGTAGGTTGGTGGGTGGAAAGGCCGAATGGGTTGGGCTAAATTTTACATGTAGATTTTTTGTTTTTTTCAAAAATTGACATGGGTTATAGTAGTTCCGCCCTTGGACGCGCCGATGACAGTTCGAATCACTCGAGATACTAGGTAGGGCTGCAAATAAGCCGAGTTTTACCGCGTTCAAGCTTGTTTATTAAGTTTTTAACGAACTCGAGCTCAGTGAAAACTTAACGAGTTGAGCTCGAGCCGAGCGGGCCTTGGCTTGACTCGAGCTTGAGCTTATTCACGAGCCTCAACGTACCAACGAAAAATGTATATATATCCTCACATAGGCCTAATACAACCAAAAATATTTTGATTGTGAAGGTATATATCTTTCATTTTCCTATGGAGCGGGAGTGTACTAGTGTGCATGTGCTTTCGCCTCCATTGGTTGACTGGAAAGTGAAAATGGAAAGAATAAATTATGAAATAATAATAAAAACCCTAAACTTAAGTATATATACCCCAGCTCGCGAGCCGACTCGAGCCGAGCTTATCCTAGCGACCCGTTTGCGAGCGGCTCGGTTTATTTGCAGCCCTAGCGATAGGCATGCCGTGGTTCCAAGTCACCAGGACTTCACTGTGCAATCCAGGTGCAAAACTGCCGACAAGCTGCCCATTGGAGCATTTTTCAATGGCTTCCCAATTTGTGTGTCAGTCTGTCAGAGCTCTAAAAAATACAACACTGAACACTCCAGTGGCTTTACTAAACTAAAAAATCTTTAGACAGAAAGATTTTTGGGAAAATAGACCAAGAAATCCAATAGGAGTTCGACTGAAAACTTTGTCAGGTTTTTTGCCACAATACCACTACAAGTACAACAGGTCAAAAAGACTTCGACTTTAGAAGTCAAAAATACTGAAATTGCAATCTGTCCATTTAGCATGGCAATTACATAGCAAATTACTCCCTCCGTCCCATAAAGTTTGGCATTTTCAGGAATGCGTGCCATTTTTAAATTGCTTATATCTTTCAATCTATAATGTTTTAGGCGATTTTTTAAATTTTGTTTAATAGAACAAATTAAAATCTATCAAACAAGATCCATATTGCTTATAAAAAACATTACGGATTAAAAGATATAGTTAATTTTTTCATAGGGCTGGAATAGTGAAAGTGCCAAACTTTATGGGACGGAGGGAGTAATTATTAGGATGGTTATGGACAGTGAAGTAGTGGTTTTGAGGATGTGGTTCTTAATCAATTTTACTATTTTGCCCATGACAATCATTTAATGGCACATTAAAAGTAGTTATAAAAACTTACGTTTTGAAAGGACAATTGTGGAGATTACTTTCGTGATGAAGCTACAAAAGTTGTTCACAGTTAAAAAAGACTAGATTATGGATAGTGGAGTAGTGGTTTTAGTTATGTGGTTCTTACTCGATTACTCCCCAGTCTCATAATGTTTGTTCGGTCCGTAAAATAAGGACGTAAAAATAATATTCCCTCCGTCCCTTTTTAAATATCCCACTTTATAACTCCAACTTAATAAGAAAATATCATCATTACATATTTCACATTAACTTTTACCTCCACTTTCCCTATTTACCTTCTATGGAGAAATCATCATTACACTTTTACTCACTAACTTTTCAAAATGGAATCTACTTTTAGGGGCAAAATGGAAAATGCACCAACTTTTACTCATTAACTTTACAAAATGGACACTTATTAAAGGACAACCCAAAATGAAATACTGGACTTTAAAAAGGGAACGGAGGGAGTACAATTTTTGCAAAAAAAATTCAAATTTTTTTCAACAATTCATTAGATATCGATGAGTTCTTGTAATTCAAATTTTTTTATTGAAAGAAATGTATTATTATTTTTTAGTCCTCATTTCACGGACTGAACAAACATTTTGAGACTGACGGAGTACTATTTTGCACATGACAATTATTTAATGGCCCATAAAAAATAGTTGTACTTTCGTGACGAAGCTTCAAAAGTTTTTCGCATTGAAAAAGACTTCGCCCTCTGTGTATTCAACTGTGCTATTCACATACAGATAAATAGGGGACAAATCGCGCGTAGATTTTTGTGTGAGGCTCACTACGGTCCCACACAAATGATTCAAGTCATCCATTAAATGTAAAATATTTTTTCAAGGCCGCCTATGAAAAATTAACTCAATCCGATACCTATAGGTGTTCACTCCAACCATCTAACTTTTCATTCGGATTTCAGGATAATAAAAAGTTAGATGATTGGATCAAGCGTCTATAGGTATCGAACTGGGCTGATTTTTCGCGAAAGGGCTTGAAAAATTACATTTAATGAAACAACTTTGGAATCATTTTTGTGGGACCCATAGTAGGCCCCACACAAAATTTGTGCACGAGCCGAGCTCAACACTTAAAACCTCGACTCGGCTCACAAAAATCTGGCTCGTTAACGACTCAAACTTGAGTTTTGGACTCGTTTAGTAAATGAACTAAACTCGAACACTATAAAACTCGGCTCGACTCGCCTCATTTGCATACAATGGATCTAACCAAAAAGTATAGTTACGGGGGACCTGGGACAGAGTCCAATCAATCCAATTCAATCCCTGTACTGTGCGGTGTACCCCCAGTCAGTTTCGGCTTGAATTCTGGGGTGGGTGTGGTGACGACACGACACCTAAGGAAACGAAGGGTGATCTCCTTGGAAAAAATTATCCATTTCTCTTGAGCCACCGTCACGTGGTGACCCAGAGTTCTCTTTAACCACAAAATTCTGCGGGATTTAAGACTAAGTGTGTAGATCCCAGTGTAATGTGTAATGGGAAGAGGCTTGGCGCACTACCATGTGATGCCCCAGAGTTCCCAGAGTTCGCCGCAACCATAAAATTCGGCGAGATCCGAGACTTAAACGTGTGAGCTCCAATGTAATGTGTGATGGAAATAGAATTGGGATATCGCCATGTGCAGCCCCAATGACACTGAATAATCTCTCACCCCATGGAGTTGTCGGTGGGGCCAAACACTTTTTAATGGCCAAAAAGCGGTAGATGTGTCGTGTTCTGCTTCTAGAATTGCGTGTCCGGACGGGGAACAAAAATTAATTGTAGTATTGAAGATTGACGCCAACTTGTACCTGACTCGTCTCCAGTGGGCTGGAATTTTTTCTTTCTTTCTTTTCGGCCAAACGGAAATTCGTGGGCTGGAAATTATCAAATAAATTAGAAAAAATAATGGCCAAGGACATGTTTTGATAATTAATATCCGTCAATGAAATTTTCAACATTAACAAATATTCTTAGCATGTCCTTAGCGGATATTAATTATCAAAACAAGTCATAGGCCGTCATTTTCCCAACAAATTACCAGAACATAGTACTCATAAAAAAGACTTCCAAAGCCGAAACATCATTAAAATCAGGGCCGTCCAATGCCG